AAAGGCCTTTGATCCACAGCTCTGCTCTGACAGGCAGGGCGTCACCAGCAGTGCCAATTATTGAAGACTGAACACCATATGTAATTCTAATGTGGTGTGTGTTTTCCTTTTAGCACTCAGTGGAATTATGTCACCTTTTTGGTTGTGTAAGTATTTTGTTATTTAAGAAAATTAGTTACTTTTAAGGATAGTTTGTTTAACTCACATTTCATAAAATCATTCTGTGCTATCATATAGATATGCTTAATTCTTAATTTGTATTTAACATAAGCCACTCATTTTTCACCAAAACCAACATCTAAGAACTTGTCCAATGCTCAGTGTTCTTTTCAATGGTCATGCACTAATATCTAATAAATATATAGAACATTAATTACTGTTATATGCAATAACTGTACTGATTAATTATAAAAATGAACTTTAAGCTTACATTATATATTGGCATATTATATAATAAATGAGGCATTAACTATAATTTTTATATTTTAAAAGGTAAAGCATATAATTTTTTTTCTACTTGAGGTCGTGTCATATTATTTTCAGTCATTATTCAGGTAATAGTCTCAAGTAGTAATTGATAATTAAGCTAAGTAGACCCCAAAGCAATCTTTTCCAAAAGAATACCCCTTCCAAACTGTAGACTTGAACTAGGATAGACACCACACCAATATGGGGCCACGTGTGGGTGACTCAATATAACAACAGTGCAATGTGATGGTGTTGGCATAATGACATCATCACTCTCTCGGGACCAGTCTTTTGGAGTGCAGGTGGCAGGGTTAGACTGATCTCATAGGAAACTAGTCATCCACGAAACCAACTTTTTCAGGGACTAAGAAGAACTGCTTTTCCTGCCTATCCTCATGGCTAGACTAAGAGTACAATGCAAGCAGCATTTTACTGTGAAGTTTAACATGTTGCCTAACGAAGGATCGACTCCCCTCCTTCACCATGAAAATATCTATTCATCTAGCATTTAAAACGTCAACTATCTATGAGACTAAAACCACATGCCCCCATCTTTCAGGTAATCAGTAGAGAATTTTCTCCTCCCCATTATTTCCTCCCTTTTCCCTTTCACTTATTCTGTTTCATTTCTTTTCCTTATACATAGTACTATGTAAACCAGTAGCAGTAATTAATGATGTAATCTAGTAGAATATGGGAAGCATTGTATGAAAGGCATTTCTAGGGGTAATTTTTCATTCATGTAACCTGACCTTATTTTAGGAACCTATTACAATTACACAGCTACATGCACATAATTCCATAATGTGATCATTTTAAATGTAACATCCTAATATAAAACCACTAAATTCTATAACTTTTTTATGATACGGTCTGTACTATTGGTTAAAAGATGTTAAAATAGATCCAAAACCAAGTAAATTGGAGTATATATTTGACATAATGGTCACTAAAAATGCTTTACTCAAGTTTGAGTCAAGGCATGCTCATTGATCATGTCTGCCCAGTTTTCAGATGTTTTATTATTTGTGGTATCTGTATATTTGTATTGCTCTCAATATGGATGCTAAATGCATTAAGACATAACACATTTACATCTAAAAGGAAGAATAAATTGCATAATATATTAATATTAATTGTTTTGTATTAATTCCTTAGGTTTAAGAAGTGTCATCATAATTTACATGGTGAAAAATTTGTTTATTGAAATATGTAAGTGATGCTGTTTAGGGCTTTAGTTTATTCTGAGTTGGGTATGTAATCAATGCTTGATAACTTTAAAGCTGAAAACCCATTAGTAGTTGCTATTTGAAATGCTTATCATTTCCTCCTTATATCTGCGCTTCACAAAACCGCCACTCACCATGCAAGGTTCTACAAGTAAATATTCTTCCATTTGGATAGCCTTTCAAAAGTCTCGCAGTGACAGATGGTTTGGTTAATTACAAAATTAAACTTTATGCTATTGGGACATAACTTCGGTGAATAACATTTTCCAGACAGAGTTGATTAAGTAGTTTGTGGTTGAGTAGCCTTTTGCCCAAAAAAGGGAACCAGGTCTCGGTGACTACCTTCTACATTCGGAAACCATGAGGGCAGAGGATGCTACTTGACTGCCCAACGAACTGAGTTCCAGTAAACTTATCAGGGTCTGACGGAGTGACCCCACCCTAAGAGTTGTGAAAGAAGGACTGTTGAAATAGCACCTGGCATTGCAGCCTGAACTCCTGTAACACTTGCTGATTCACCGACCACAGTAAGGGGAAAGTACACTGGCTCTTCCGTTGGCCTTCCTGGGTGAGACTGCTGATAAACACGGACTCATCTTTGAAATCACAGGTTTTAACTTTCACATGCTGACAGTGAGATTTTTAATTTTTTATTGTGGGTAAACCAAAACATGTTTAAATGTTGAACTTCACAAAGAAATCTGATTATTATTAAGGGAAGATATTTTTGTGTGCAATTATGGGCTTTTTATTGTTTATGTATATATTTCCCTCTTCAAAACATTTTTAAAATGTTAAACTTCACAAAGAAATCTGAATATTATTAAGAGAGATATTTATTGTGTGAAATTACAAACTTTTTTATTGCTTATGTATATACTTCTCTCTTCAAAACAGTTTTAAAATGTTGAACTTCACAAAAAATATGAATGTTATTAAGAGAGATATTTTGTGTGTGCACTTATTGGCTTTTTATTGGTTATATATATTTCTCTCTGAAAAGCAAAGAAAGTCAGTATCCATTATGATCAGAGGTCTGAGGTTTGAGTGACCATATTTTATTCAGGTAATTTGAAAATACTCTATTTGATGGTGCTCAATTGACTTGAATAGACTAGAGAAAAAATGACAAGATGCTTAGGTCACTAGTAAAATTTTAATTTTAGAAACATTATTCGACTTAGAGAGCAGGGTCAAGTAAAAGTTATTCAGATCTTTGATAACTTAGCAAATTGGATATATATGAAATATATCTATGAGATGTTATACACATACACACACAAATCAACCCTTGTAGAATTGCCTTGAAATTTCATGTTCATAATCCTGAAAGTATGAGTTTAAGCTTTAATTATTTTTTCCATTAAATATGTGATATAAACAAGCAAACCCCATACTAACAAACCAGTTGTCGTTGAGCTAATTCTGACTCATCACGTTCATCTTCTTCAGGATAGTTGTGCTTCTATCGAGTTTAAAGGCTGTGACAAGGTAGAAGCAGGTGTCCAGCCCTCTCTGCCCAGGCACTTTTGTGACAGTCAGACAGCCAATCCATCTGTTAGAGGTTGGCCTTCAATTGTCTGAGTCACCCAGCGTTCCTCCAATAATTATAAAAAGGAAAAAAAAGTACATGAGTACACAATCGATACCGGAATGTAACCATTGTCATAACACATTGAAGATACAATTAAAGGAACCTAACAGGAGCATTTTCATCCTGGGGTCCTTACTTGGAATTTGTTTGGTGGCAGGTCATGGACAATGCAACTTCTCCTCACTGTTCATATGCTTGGAGTTAGAAAATGAGAGGGTCAATGTATGGATGAGAAAATTATTGAAGTATTATTTTAATTTCATGAAGCATATACAATACACTATAGTACTGACTGATCTGACTCAACTGAACCCAGTTACACATAGTTGTGTTTCTTTAAAAACACACACATTGCTAAGTAAAACAGTATTGGTAACAGGGTTCCAATTCATATGTGCATGCACAGGCTTATTTCAAATAATACATATGTAAGCATGTGTCTGTAATCAATAGATGGCTGCAGACAAGTTTTCTCAGTAACATACTTGTCTCAATCTCAGTAAAGCACTTTTGAAAAGAAAAACATCCAATAAAAAGAGTGGATCTGAGGGCTTCTACTAGGCCACTGAAACTCATGCCATAGAAACCTATGGCAGATAGATCCTCTTGGAAGGTGATGGGGAGTGTAGTTTGGGATCGCAAAATGTAATTTGTAATATAGTATTCTTGAAGAACATTGAAAAATCATGGGGCTTGTTAGGAAGAAATTTTAAGTAAACAGAAAGTTATGTTGGTGATAAAAGACCTGGCAAGTTGTGCTGAGGAATTTTTCCTTCCAATATGATGAATCCCCATGATCATTCTTCAAGGGTAGCAGTGTTAGCTCCATTGGGCAGTCTTATCCTATCCACACTGCAGTTCTGGTTTTTCCCCTTCCGATTTTTTTTTTTTTGATCCTCAAACTCAAAGAACATTTACAGGAACCTCTTCGAGGCCCCCCTGGATGCCAAAGCTTTAGTTTTGATGTGGTGTACACTAGATAGCAGAATTCTTTGGGAAGGGTTAGCGAGATAGGAAACATGTCTTTAAAAGTATATATTGTGATAAGAGATGTAAGAGCCCCCAATAAAAGTATATATATATATATATATA